CCACCAAAGCGGGTTTAGCCGGTTAGAGCTCAAGAGAATCGCTTCACGCCTTGCTTGCAAGAGCTAGACAGCAAAACCATTCCTAGCAACCATTGCTTTCGAAAGAGCAACCATTTCAGGGAACATCTACTTGAGAATTTTCTATAGTGAAAGCCTTTTTTCCAGGCAAAGACCCCACTCATAGGGTGAAGGCAGCCATCACTGGAGAATAGCTCCTAGCCTTATTCTAAGAAGGCGCATGCCATCAAACGAAAGGAAGGGCCCAAACCGTTAGGGAGCATATGTTTCCAATAGCAAGAGTCAGTCCAAGCAGCGGAACACGTTACCCATTGAAACTAGGGAAGTTTCCAAACTCAAATTCGAAATGAGATCTTCCATCTTGATTAGCATGGTAGGTAGGCATGAAAGATGAGGCAAAGAATGTTCCGCATCTCCCCGGCCAGAAGCTTTCAAGACAGGCAAAGGTAAGGGGAAAAACAGTGAAGAATGACTTTGCTAGGAGTTAGGACCTTTCATCCAATACATGTAAGGGGATTTTGATCCCAATAGAATGCTATTTTACCTAGGTAAAACCCACGTTAAGGATACCTCTTTATACCCTTTCTATTATAGGCTTAAAGCATGAGGGTGGACCCTTATTTTAGCTTGCCTATAGCAGGTATTAGAGAAGGATGACCCGCATGTGGGTGAAAAGCCTCTCTAATAGCGGAGAGTGATAGTACGATGGATAGGTCTCATCAGAGGTTCTGGCTGGTATTGCTGCTATAAGTCCGTTCGGGGAGTCCGTGGCATAAAAAAAGAAGGATTTGAGTCTGAGAAAGACTGTTTCCCCATTTTCATACGAATAGTGAGAAATCTCAGAGTTTCTCCAGTTGGGGCATAGAAAGAAGACCTGAACTCGGTGTTTCCTCAATCTGAATAGATCAATCTGGATTATAGGCCAGCAAGCCCGGAACCAGCAAGTGGGAGCCTGCTGGCAAAGAGAATGTTAGTGAGTCTTAGCCATGATCAGACGAATGGTGTCAAAGACGAGAAAGAAGAAAGAGGAAAATGAGACATTCAATCATGATTTAGCGGGGGCAGTTAGACGATGCAAGGTATGCTTCAGAAGGCCTAGTTCAATCTGAGAGGTTTCCCATGCTCTCGCTCCTTAGAAAGATTAGGTGATAGGATACGCCGACCTTTAGTTAGAAAGAGCCGGGTGACCCCCTATCAATCTGCTTTCGCCGCTAGCCTCTCCTTTGCTTTTTTAGGTTTCCCATGCCTTGAAGAGGTTAGAGAGGGATATCAAATCCGGATTGAAAGATAGGCATAGATAGTCTAATCAAGAGGATTAGGCATGAGCATACAAAATCAGTCAAATATGAGAAAGATAGATACGAAATCCGGATCAAAAAGATAGAGATATCAGAAATCCGGTATGGAATGCTAGATCAATCTGAAAGATGAGGCATGAATGCTAGAAGGCAGGGATAGGTATTCAACCAGAAACCTGAACCCTTTAAGTCGTTCCTTCTATGGGTAAGTCAAGTTCAGTTAGAAAGTCCTTCCCTCTCTGCTCATCCTTCCCCGTTCCTAGCTTAGCTCTCACTATTGAAGCTCGTACGCAATGAGCCTCTCACGTTTCACTGAGATTGCTGCTTAGTCCTTCTCAAAAGCCTAATTCGTTCGCCTATGAATAGTCAGCCGATAAAAGTAGAATTCTTTCGCCTATAGGTAGCCAAAATCCCGGAAAAAAGGAACTTGATGATGTTCTTCTCCCCTCGTGGTCTCTATCTATAGATCCTAGACGGCGGAGACCATCTAGCTATTCATTAAGAAATGCCTGAAATGCTTGCTTTAAGCCGCGTACGAAAACCCCACATGCACCTTTCACCCCTCGAAAATACCCTGATAATGAAAGTCAGCGCCCTTCGAATGGACAATGGGGGAAGGTTTGTCTTCCATGGTAGCTAGGTAGCCCCGCATGAAGGTGACTCGCCCCCGATTGTAGGAAGCCCACTCTACAGTCTGACATGCTTTCCGTATCTAAGGTAAGGGGAATAATGCTAATCTATGTGCCAAGGAAGGTAGGCCTTTAAGGGAAGTAATTCATCCGGTAGGTACTACTAACTAGAAGAGATTGAGAAAAAGGGATTTTATCTCCCTAAGGTCGAGTCTCCTTCCTATCCTTTTCAGTCTGTTTTCACTTCCTCCATCTTTGGAATTGAATCAATAGTAGCAGAAGGAGGCAAGTAACTGATTAAGGAAAGGCATGAGTTTCATTTTCCAAGTAAGTTATGAAAAAAAGTTCTTATTAGCTTTCACCCTTTCTCCGCTTCAAAAGGAGCCGAATTTCAAGAACTTAAGACTTTTTAGACGGCCCTAAAGAAAGAAGTACAGGAGCTGAAGTCGATTCGCCAACAGAGAAGGGGGGTCGGACATGAATACGATTTGCGGACATGAAACATAATAAAGGCAGATGCCAAGAAGTGGGCAAGGAACTTCCATAGGGACTTGT